GAGGGAGAGGAGGAGGGAGAGGAGGAGGGAGAGGAGGAGGGAGAGGAGGAGGGAGAGGAGGAGGAGGAGGATGAAGAGGAGGAGGAGGGATGCCTGCTCTTGTTTGGGGACAGCAGAGCGACGACGGGTGCTACAGCAGACGGCCCCGGACGCGCGTCTCGGTGGTGAACCGCAGAGCTGCCCTAGGCTGGACTAAGAATATGTCACAGATGACATTTCCCCTTAATGAACTCAAATCAAACGGCCCGTATGCAAGGTGAGTTATTTCTAAGAACTCACTCCTTGAATCACATGCAAAGTGGATGTGAGGAAACCGCTGCCCTGGCCGCAGGCCACCCACCCAAACCCACTCTGTTCAGCTCTGGAAAGCGGTGTCCCCAAGCAGAGAAGAGCCACCAGTCGGCTTCCTCCAGGGCCGATGACCCTCTCCCCGGGCCACCAGGCCAGCAGCCCTGCCTCAGTGACGTCCTGTCAGTAGCCTTGACCCGTTCCTGGCTCCTGCAGAGCCTCAGAGCATCACCTGCCTCAGCCTTTCTCAGTGCTCCCCGCCCCACCCTCCGCGCCGCCCGGCCGCCTCCTGCCTGACCTCTGCCCCAGCGTGGGCTCCCAGCACTGAGCCCTGGCTCTGTTCTGCTCCTGAGATCCAGAGGTAGGAGAGCAGGCCCTTCAGGGCTCACACTCACCTTGCAGCGGCAGGAGAGAGGGCACCTGGGTGCGTCTGCAGGAAACAGCGCCCCCCCCAGGTGAGGGCCCAGGGCCAGCAGAGCCGCCCGAGTGGACGTTCTCACAGGAAACAGCACCCCCCAGGTGAGGACCCAGGGCCCTGCAGAGCCGCCCGAGTGGACGTTCCCACAGCACAGCCCACAAGTTCCAGCGGATGGGGCTGATTCCGCCTCACCCAAGACCAACAAGGAGACAACAGTGAAACGGTAACCGTGGTCCAAAGAGCAGTATCGGGAGCCAGTCTCGGTATCTGAGGTCCCTGGATCCGCCTCCACCTTATGCAGCCTCGATACGTAGTCAGTGATTCGTTTCCACCAACGCAGTTAATGAAGAGCTTGGGGGAGGCGTCTGTTTGCGTTTGTCGCTGTTTTTTTGTAATTAAACTTACTTTGAGAAAAGTGTGAATTCACATCGCAGCTGTACGTAAGAAACAACTGTAGAGACCGTCTGTGCCCTTCACCATTTCCTGTTGGAAACATCACAAGGACTCAAGGTCAACATTGCACCAGGAGAGGGACACGGATGGAGTCAAGATCCAGACGTCCCGGGGCACGAGGACCCGAGGCGCCCCTCACAGCCACTGGCAGCCGCTGTGCTATCCTGACGCCGTGGCGTGCCGAGAGCGTGATCCCGGAACGTGCAGGAGGCGGCCTTCTGCGCCCGGCTTTCGCGCTGCTCCTCGGCTCCCGGGACAGCCTTCCGGTCGCTGCATATAACCGTAGTCAGCTCCTGTACTGGCGACGCCAAACATTCAGGTTCAGGCTTTTCTGTGAACAGTCTTCGATCCACTGGGGTAAACGCCCAGGAGGGCAACTGCCAGGTCACAGAACAGTGACAGGTTTAGTTTTCAAAGAAACTTCCAAACGGTCTCCAGAGCGGCCGCGCCGTCTCACACCCTCAGCGATGCGTGAGGACCCAGCTTCCCTGCCTCTCGCCAGCGCCGGGCGTCTTGGTTTTCACTCCGTTCTGATGGCACCTTGCTCTGACGCAGGCTCCCTGAGGCCGGCGAGCAGCACCTTCCCGCGCGGCTCTTTGCCATCTGCACACCCTCCCTGGTGAGATGTCTTTTCACATGTTTTGCTCATTTTCTAATTGGAACGAAACGCGCTCAGCCATGGCTGTGTAATTCTTTTCATACGCTGCTGAATTCTGTCTGTGAACCTTTC